GTGTGGGTGAGGACACAGGGGACCCATGATCCCCTATTGCCCAGGGCCCGATGAGTTGTCAGTCCGCCCCTGTTCAGGTTAAAATTAGCAGCTTTTTTAAATCTTTTCTTCTAGCTTACCAGGCCAAACTTAGCCATATCATAGTGCATCTGTTAACCACTTCCTGTCCGGACACTTTTACCCCCTTCCTGTCCTGGGCAATTTTCAGCTTTCAGCGCTATCACACTTTGAATGACAATTGCGCGGTCATGCAATACTGTACCCATATGAATTTTTTACCATTGTTTTGAGACAGATAAAGCTTTATTTTGGTGGTATTTATTTACCACTGGGATTTTTATTTTTTTTGCTATGTAAATAAAAACGTCCAAAAATTTTGAAAAAAGTGTTTTTTTTTAAATAAAATTTTACAAATAAATAATATTTCATCATAAATCTTGGCCAAAATTTATTCCGTAATTTTTTTAGTAAAAAAAAAAAAAATCCAAATTAGTTTATAACCAAAAATTATAATTTTTAAACATTTTTTTTACATTTTTATTTTTTTTTTTATATTATTATTTTTTATTTTTTTTTTTTTTACATACTGTCACCCTAACAGTACAGTGTCACCATGGTGACACTGTACTACTTGTGGGGGGTGATGAAGATTTTTTTTTTTTTTTTCTTTTACACTGATTGCTTTTACACCCATATAGGATGTAAAAGCAATCATTTCTCTTTCTCTCTGTCTGCATTCTTGCAGTCATTGAGAAGTACTGAGTGAGCTGTGATTGGTCACAGCTTGTCACATGGTACAAGGCTGTTGTGAATAGCCTTGTACCATGTGACCTCTGTGATCATTCACAGATTTCACACCTAGTAAGCAATGATGTCACAAGTGACATCTTGCTTACTACTTTGCATGTGATCACTGATTGGCCAATCAGTGATCACATGATCAGGACCTCGTACAGAGGTCCCGTCCGACGATCGGTGTTTCACTGTAAATCAGTGTATAACCTCCTACACCCCAAAATTCCTCAAAAAGTCATACTTTCTCCCTAGAAAGTGCAGCAATCATATATTATAACCTTTTTGTGATAGAAAATAAAAAACTAATATTCAAATTAATATATCATATATACTCAATAATAATATTACTCAAACCATATAAAAAGTTTTTCAAAAAATTGAAAAGAAAAATTGGTCCAATAAAAAACAGTGTCCAAAAAAAAGGTCCCAAATTTTCAAACTTTATGATCCAATAGGAAGGAATCCTATTTCATCCCGTGATACCTCAAAGAAAAAATAAATAGATACTCTAGTGCATTACTTTTAAAACAATTATATTCACTCAGTGAAGAACACAAAAATTGTGCAAAAACTATATATATATATCTCGTGCACATATGAATTAACTGTGACCACTCCGTGAACACTGCAACACTGTGAATCCACCGACACCAATAGTATTACATACTATTACCCTCTGTTTTATATAATCAGCATTCAATCAGAGATCTTCTATTTCCTCTCCAAAGAAATTATTCCAAGGTCCTCAAAAGACAAGAAGGGTCTCAAGACTCATGTTCAAGGTATAGGTAAAAGCAACAACTTACATTAAAATTCCACATATACGGGCAAACATGGCTCCTACGCGAGTTCTCTGCCAAACAAATGCAGTAAGCCATGTGTGAACAACCAAAAAAATGGCCGCGGCGACACCTCCGGTCCGCGCACGCGCACCTCGACGCCACACCCCCCAACGCGTTTCGTCACGTCTCGTCCAACACAGCGGGCACCGGATCGCACAGCTAGAAAAGGCGGGTGCCGTTTATGAACAGGAACCCGCCCCTGGAGTGCCACCGCCCTGCCGTTTATAAATAGCAGGCGGACGGCAAGTGGTTAATTACTGTAATGCAATTACTCTATGGAAATACGGGCAGCACAGTGGCTAAATGGTTAGCATCTCCGCCTGGCAGTACTAAGGTTGTCAGTTCCCAACCATGGCACCACCTGCCTGGAGTTTGCATGTTTCTCCCTGTGCCTGCGTGGGTTTCTTCCAGGTACTCCGGTTTCCTCCCACGCTCCAAAGACATGCTGGTAGGTTAATTGGCTCCTGTCTAAATTGTCCCTAGTATGTGTACGTATGAAGGTGAGTTAGGGACCTTAGATTGTAAGCCCCTTGAGGGTTAGGGACTGATGTGAATGTACAATATATATGTAAAGCGCTGTGTAAATTATCGGCGCTATATAAGTACCTGGAATAATAAATCATTTTTGCATTTTTTAAAGAAAAACTGAAGTTCTGCTGTTGTAGAAACAGTGAGCAGGAAGGATTTTATTTGCAGAAGAGACTTGCAATGTGTCTTCTGCAATACAATGTCCCTACAAGAACACTGGGGAACTGGAGGAAGTACAGAGATGGGAAAGCAAATTGATAAGAGGCATGGAGGAGATCAGCTATGAGGAAAGATTGAGGATGTATCTCTATACAGAATGATTCTGAGGAGGAACAAACCCTCTTCGTAGAGGTAAATATCGCCATTATTATGTATGTCAGTTTGGCATAAAAATTTAGAAATTCACAGATGTCGGGAAGAGGAGATAATGTTCCCTGAAATATTGACAAGAAAAGATCAAAAGCATAAAAATCATAAAGCATGTCAGGAAAACCGCACTCATGAAAAAAATCCAGATTTATTATCTGAAGTTTCAACAATACAAACAACCATATTCAATCTAGCAATTAGTGATGAGTGAAACTGAGAGTTCTTATTTCTCCAAAAATATGATGAAAATTCGGGGATTTTTGCAAATTGCATGTAAGACATCGGGATAGGCTAAACGAGGATGTTTTTGTTGTATTTTTAAGGATCCATGTGCACGGTGTGTTTTGAACCAGGGGCAGACTGACCATTTAGAAACTCGGGCACTGCCCGAGGCCCAGGGTCAGTAGGGGGCCCCATGAGATGCCCCTGGTACCTTTTTCATAGGCTTTTTTGAGTTTGGGCAAAGACACAGGGGCCCCATGATCCCCTATTGCCCGGGGGCCCCATGAGTTGTCAGTCCGCCCCTGGTTTGAAGAACTCTTCTGAACGCTGGGAACTGACAGCAGAAAATGCAGGTTAAAAAATGTCAGTTTTGCCGCGTTTGCATACCACGTTTATGAACGATTAGCTACATTCATGAGCGTTTGCGTTCAGAAGCGTTTTTTAAAGATAAGCACAGTAGAACCTCCCAAATGCCCAGAATGCACTGGAAAATGGTAAATTATTAATTATTTCAGACTGATTGAGAGAAATAGAGAGAGTAGAAGCAGAGACAGCAGTATGTGCTGATATTAGCTGTTTTTTTTTTTTGTGGTGTTTGGATGTGTTCCGGCTCATTTCTGTGCAGAAAATATTGTAGCAGTGTCTAAAATATTTTCTTTCATGCGAAACCTCAGAGTATGGTGTACCGGGTCCATTTGAGTACCGGGAAAACGCTTTGCATGCATTTTTCATGATGAAAAGAGGCTCTGGACAGCATCTGGAAATGGAAGAGTTAAAAAAAATTCCAAACACAAATGCTTATTAATGCGGTTAGCCACATTTACACGCGTTTGAAACGCCGATAAAATCTACTCCTGAACGCAAGTTTGGTGCGTTCAGAAAAATGACTGTAAACTCAACTGCCTGTAAACGACGATGTGTACATGGACACATAGGAAAACATTAGGGAGAGTTCAGGGGCCGCTGAAAAAAAACTCAGAAAAGCTCCTAAACATGAGTTTATCAGCTGCAGTGTACATGGAGCCTAAGGCTGGCCATACATTATACAATTTTCTTGAGATTTTTTGTTTAGATTTACCAAAAACCATATAATAAGAGGTCAAAATTAACAACACTTTCAATTGTATCCAATTAGGCGGGCTCTTGCACTACATAGTTGAAGCTAAATCTAAAGGAAATTGGGCAGAAATTGGACAGAAAATTGTATAGTGTATGGCCAGCCTAAGGATGCAGTGGGTTTGAGGGTAACACCCTTTTTTCATTAGTTCAGTCATGTTTTTTCCAAGAAAAAACAGATCAGTTTCATATCAGTTTTTCATCAGTTTAAATCAGTTTTTCATGAGTCTACTTCCATTTTTATCAGTTTACTTCAGTTTTTCATCAGTTTACATCTGTTTTTCATCCATTTTTTTGTCTGTTTTTACCAGTTTTTGTCCATTTACATCTGTTTTTTGTCCATTTTTTGTCTGTTTACATCAGTTTTTGTCCATTTACATCTGTTTTTCGTCCATTTTTTTGTCTGTTTACACCAGTTTTTGTCCATTGAAATCCGTTTTTCATCCATTTTTGTCTGTTTTTTTTGTCTGTTTTATCAGATTTTGTCCCATCTACATCTGTTTTTTTTTTTGTCGTCCATTTTTTTGTCCATTTGCATCCATTTTTTGTCTGTTTACACATGTTTTTGTCCATTGGCATCCGTTTTTTGTCGTCCATTTTTTGTCTGTTTACACCAGTTTTTGTCCATTTGCATCCATTTTTTGTCCATTTTTTTGTCTGTTTACACCAGTTTTTGTCCATTTACATCTGTTTTTCGTCCATTTTTTGTCTGTTTACACCAGTTTTTGTCCATTGACATCCATTTTTCATCCAGTTTTTTGTCTGTTTACACCAGTTTTTGTCCATTGACATCCGTTTTTTTTTTCGTCCATTTTTTGTTTGTTTACACCAGTTTTTGTCCATTCATATCTGTTTTTCATCCAGTTTTTGTCCATTTACATCCATTTTTTGTCAGTTCCATTTTTTTTAACAAATGAAAAATAGGTTTTTTTTTCCATTCAAAAAAACGGATGTTAACGGATGTGGATATTAACCTCCCTTAGGTATTCCCGAGTGTAGCTCGGGGTAAAGTTTCAGCACCACAAGCGGTAACCCTGAGCTACACTCGGGGATACCCTGCAGCGTTGCTCCGGGATCTCTTCTGCACTTACCTTGTCCTGCGCTCCCTGCAGTGTCCCTGGCAATGACCTCCGGCCGATGCCGGCATCTGTCTTCCAGGGTCCGTTCCCTGCGACGTCGGGACGTAGGGGGGACGGAACGGCGGGAAATTTGAAAATTGTAAAAAATACATTCACTAAATACACTAAAATCACATAGTATAAACATTCCTGTATCAAACCATTTCACATACATTTTGTCCCGAGTGCTTTGTCCTGTCCCCTGCCTGCATTTTTTTACTGTTCTTTCTGCCTGGAAACTGAGAAACGTCCATGGCGTCCAAAAAGCGTCCCTGTCATGTTTCACATGACTGTCATATGCCTTTAAATGTTTTCAGTGTTTTGTCTCTGCTCCTCCCTTTCCTTTAGTTTAGCTAATGTTGCATAGATAGCCCTCCCCCCTTCCCAGAGATGCATTGCAACAGCCTCATGGCAAGAAGTAGAATCAGTATGTTCTATCAAATGTTTATTGTTGTAAGATTCTCTCAGTTTATGGAATAAACTTCACAAGATGTACAAGATATCATTCTGATTGAGTCACTGACTGTGGACCCCAACTGAGATTGAAGTCATCGCTATCTCATCACAACTGTTACAAGTTACAGAGATCACACTATCATTGCTTAGATTGGATACACAGAACGGTCCCTTTAGGACAAAATCGGTTTTAGACCGCTAGAGAACAGCGATAGTAAATCAGAACCACTTGCAGAATTGAGTGATAATGATTCATGGGGAAATTCCTCATCAGACACTGAAAACGATTCTGCGACTTTGCTCAGCGATGTGCGAACTTGGTGCTCTATTTCATATTTCAGTGTTTTTGATTTGATTATATTATTGAATTAAAATTATTATTATATTATTTTTTTATGATTATTTATTAAATTATAATTTATGATTTCGTGTTTCAAATTTTATCATACCCGGGATGTTTACTAGACTCTTGTTCAGACAGATTTCAGTGAGTTATTCCTAAAAATTACAGCCTACAATAAAAAAATACACATTTCCATGCAAAAAAATGTACCGCTTTGAGCACAGAAATATGGACATAATCATACCGCTAGGGAGGTTACCGGATGTAAACAGATGATCACCCGTTTACATCCGCTAGTCCATAGAAATACATGGGTGTCCGTTTTTAATCCGTAAACAGACAGATGAAAAAGGACATACGGAATGCCCATGTGAAAGGGGCCTTACAGAGGCTTCTTTCAACCATCCTCAACCATTTTGTGGGCCACAACATGACCCATTGTCAGCCTTACTATTTTACAGGCAGTGAAAAAAAGAAAAAAAAATCCAAAGCAATGTAACTCTTCTAATGATCAAATGCTCAAAAAATGGAAACAAAACCCACACATACTAAGAATACTAAATTAAATAAACAAACTTACCCTAAATGCATAAAACAAACCAACTTTTTAAAGGAAAAAAAATTAGATTTCTTTTCTTTTTTTGTTTTAACAGCTTAATGAGCTGAATAGGGACTTTTTTGATTCTGAATAATTCCCTAATCCCTACAAGCTAGAAAAATCACACTTTAAAAAGAAAAAGATTTTTTGCCCTAACTGCTTAATGAGTTGACTATTGGCTTTTTCAGATGGGAAAACATTGACCTCTCCCTACCAACTGTGTATTTGTTAAACATTATTCTATTTTTATAATAGTATCAATATCTGTCTGTCTGTCTATTTCTTTCTCTTTGTTTTTATGGGCACAATCTGAGATATTCCAGCTACACAAATGTTAAACTGGTTATTTTATAAAACCTAGTTCTTAAAAAAAACGTAACTAAATATTTTCAAAGGGAAAGCACACACAAAAGCAAAAAAGAAAAGAAAAAAAAAAACTTAAAGTGTTACTAAACCCTCAACAGTACAATCAGTCTGTATATGCAGTAAAGTATGCTGGTTATACTCAGTGTGGAACCTAAGAGGTTAATCCTCTGCATTGTGTAAGGCCTTTTGATCCTTTTTTCTCTGTTCCTCCCCTTTTTCACATGAACACCTCTTATCTCTTGATAAGACAAACTGAACCTTAGGCATTTTGCACATGCTCAGTTCGGTGTGTATTGCTAGAGAATTTTTTTTCTTGCGAGAGTGCGTGTGATCAGTATAGGGCCAATCAGCACTGCCCAGTCAGAGGACAGGGGTTCTGCATCATCCTAGAGCAGAAAGAAAATTTATCCTACAAGCTTTAGCTAGTGCTGGGCTGGACACTGATAGAAGTCACAAGACTGCTCTAACTACTGATGAGAAAAGGTATTTAGCAGTTTATATTTACTAAAATAATTGCATTTCTATGTTCTGTGTACTGTGGGAGACCAGATATAGTGAATGCAGGGTCTGGGGTGAGACCAGATAGAGTGAATGCAGGGTCCGGGGAGACCAGATATAGTGAATGCAGGGTCTGGGGAGACCAGATATAGTGAATGCAGGGTCCGGGGAGACCGTATATAGTGAATGCAGGGTCCAAGGAGACCAGATATAGTGAATGCAGGGTCTGGGGAGACCAGATATAGTGAATGCAGGGTCTGGGGAGACCAGATAGAGTGAATGCAGGGTCCGGGGAGACCAGATATAGTGAATGCAGGGTCTGGGGAGACCAGATATAGTGAATGCAGGGTCTGGGGAGACCGTATATAGTGAATGCAGGGTCCAAGGAGACCAGATATAGTGAATGCAGGGTCTGGGGAGACCAGATATAGTGAATGCAGGGTCCGGGGAGACCGGATATAGAGAGTGCAGGGTCCGGGGAGACCAGATATAGTGAATGCAGGGTCTGGGGAGACCAGATATAGTGAATGCAGGGTCTGGGGAGACCAGATATAGTAAATGCAGGGTCCGGGGAGACCAGATATAGTGAATGCAGGGTCCAGGGAGAGTGGATATAGTGAATGCAGGGTCCGGGGAGAGCAGATATAGTGAGTGCAGAGTCCGGGGAGACCAGATATAGTGAATGCAGGGTCCTGGGAGAGCAGATATAGTGAATGCAGGGTCTGGGAGACCAGATATATGAATGCAGGGTCTGGAGGAGACCAGATATGATGAATGCAGGGTCTGGGGAGACCAGATATAGTGAATGCAGGGTCTGGGGAGACCGATATAGTGAATGCAGGGTCCGGGGTTTAGCAACACTTTTATATCCACTAACCTTTTCAAAAGTGGTATTATTTTAACTGCAATGAAGAAAAGTAAATGGTCACAGTTTTCTATAGTGTCTGCCAGTGGCATTTAGATAAAAAAAAAAAAAAATAGCTGTGGAGGGGGGTTGCATGCAGAGGTCAGAGTTGGAGAGGGGTGAAAGTGAGATTAGATGGGGGATGTAGAAGTGAGCAGCTATGGAAGAGGGCTGAATTCGGCAGTCTGTGTAGCATACCCCTGAACTCTGCACTCGCCCGAGAGGCAATCGGATATTTCCTGGATTAACTTTACCTATAAATGTTAGTATCCAGTTATATTCTGTGTATACAAGAAACAATCCAGGAC